CGTATTATTTTGTTGTCCGTGTGGGTTTATTGGGCCACACATCGTTCTTACTGAAGACGAACTGTGCTGATTGTGTACACATCCAAGGGGCTCTCGTGGCCTAGAGGTTAAGGTGTTGGCCTCTCATTCAAAGGTCCCGGGTTCGAATCCGGGTAGCGACCGAAACATTTTCTTCTCTAAAATTGTCTACTTTCACGTCCTTTCCTGCTCTCTAGCAATATTCTGTCGTCTGCTTTCATTTCCACTTTCTGACCCCACCCCCTCAATTCCTTTGCCCCCTCCTCTGGGCTCCTGACTCTTTCTGCAGCCTTTCTACTGCTACCCCTTGGCTCCTCCTTACTGCTCACCCCTGATCTTCTGGTAGGAAAGATCTACACCTAGCCTTCTCGGACAAGGGCGAAAATTCTCGGAGGGCCCGTGTGCAAGTTGCGCAAGTTAAAGATCCATTGGTGGTCTAAAATCGATAAGATTAGGCTTCGGCCGCCACCTGGGCAAAATTCAAAATTTCCTACCAACTGAAAAATATTTGGTGTGTCCCGCGCGCTCATATGACCTTATGCAGTTGCGAGCGCCGTAAAACACTTACCAAAAAAAAAAAAAAAACATCCAAGGACACGCTTTGAAAATATGCTCAGAGCATAAATGTACAATGTACAATCTCTTGCTAAAAATTTTTATTTCGATTACGTGCAGTTGTTACACTGTCGTAAGATGATATTAAGAATATACAATTGGTCGTTTTTAAGGACAAGCGAGCTATCCCAGATTTCGGGGGTTTCTAGAAATCTTGACCGACACCAAAAGTTGTCATTGCCCTACCTATAGGAGGAGTTTGGTTTCATTGGTGTGTATATTTGTTTGGTTATAGAGAAAACTCTCCTTGTCTTTTATAGCACAAGGGGGCTATTCCGAAACATGCTGTTTTGAGAAAATAGAAGGTAACGTTTTTGTCTATTGTTCAGTTTCTATAAAAGACGAGGAGAGTTTTTTCGATAACCAAACAAATACAAACACACCAATGAAACCAAACTTCTCCTATAGGAGCTCACTTTTGGTGTAGGTCAAGACGTCTGGAAACCCCCGAAATCTGGGTTTGCCCCGCTTGTCCTTAAAAGCGACCAAATGTACAATGTACAATCTCCTGCCATGAATATTATTTCGATGACGCGCAAAAAACGTCACAGTGCCGTAGGATGCTATAAAGAATATATTCATCATCCAGTGCCAGATCTGCGACAGACATCGGCGATCATGGTTCTCCATTCATTCATTTGCTCGGATTCTCTTTAAAAAAGCTACGTTTCCCTGATCTTTCCCTGTTACCCATTTGTTTAGGTTCCCTAAGTAGGTTGCTCTGGGCCTACCCCTGCATCGTTTGCCTATAAAGAATATACAATTCTGAATACATGGTGTGGCTAATTGGCGGGTGCTCTGGTGTCCTTTTTTTCTTTCCTTTTAACATTTGATAATGATAATGGATTGCATTTATATAGCGCACATCCACTGATGCAATGCTCTATGAGCTTAACATGATACATATTATTATGGATTTACAAATCAATTTTAAAGGCACATAGTGTTACATACTCGTGCACACACATATTCACGCACGCACGCACCAAACACACACATACATACACACATACACACATACGTACACATGCACATACGCACATACAAACTCACAACATTTATCTTCCTCCTTCTTACTTTTGTGTTTGTTACTCTGTTAAACCTTTAATATTCGGCACTTTTTAGTAGAGTTTTTACGGCGCTTGCAACTGCATAATAAGGTCATATGAGCGACATATGAGCACTGATAATATGACGTAATTGTGACAAAAGTGCGA